TTGAATGGAGAAAACTGGAATTATAGATTTTATTTGGTACAGTACATGCATGTATTATATAATAAATTGCATGTATTATTATTTGACGTAAAACAAGAGAAACTTTCATAGTAAAATATAGATCTTTAAAAAAATCTGTGTTTTGGGTGCTTCCCAATCCTTGTATATCGTTGATTTGATTGTTTACCAGAAAACCCATAGAAAATAGAAATTTAAAATGTATAATTTATATCATTCAATACGTGTACACCATGAAAACACTTAAATTATAAGGATCCCTTCACACCATTGGTCTGGATGATAGTGGACCACTATATACATGTATATGAGACTAATAATTCGTCAGCAACTCCCAGGTCCTCAATGTCTTGCAGATTGAGCGTTTCTTGAGGCATTGCCATTAGTACTCCACTAGAGCACTTTGTCTGGGCATTAATCTTACTAGTAATATATGTAAATATTCTATTAACACATTCTATGTTTACCTGTAGTTTTAGCTGTGGGCCAGAGTGTAAACATGTTTACGCTTTATCTGCATATCCTCATTAAATGAAGTGTTGTTGTCACCTTAATTTCTTTGCAACCATAGACTGTCATCTTTTAGATTGAAAAGTATCTTCTGACCCCGGGGGAGGTACTCCCTTTATGGGACGTGCCGCTGGACAGGGTATGGTTTTTGGCCTATCGGTTCTGAACAGGGTATATAATTTTATGCGAGTCTGTCCTTAAACAGGGCTGAACTTGTCCTAAACAGGGTATGCAGCTGCACGATTGTCATCGTAAAAATATGGTTTATACAGTATTTAGCTATCCGTGATTGGAGATGTTAGCCGGTCTTTGGCTTGTATCATTCAAACGTCATTCGCTAAATATTTGCAATTACCAATAAAACACTTTAAAAATGTGCAAAACAAGAGTGTTTGTATTACATGTATGTCCTAAACAGGATCCTAAAATAGAGGATGTTGTCCTACACAGGGTACATGTAGGTATTTTAGTTTTTTGTTGTTGTCCTAAACAAGGTCAGGGTTTCAAACCCTCAGCGGGTCATTTACCCCCTCGCCCCCCCCCCCCCCCCGGGCTTCTGACTAGGGGAACAGTTAGATAAGCTTAGTTACTTTACTGTTGATTCAGGATAAGAAGAGTTGGTTTGGTTCTTCTTACATTTTATTATTGTGCTGGACATCAATACTGTATTATTGATACATGTAGTTGTAAATTTTTTTTAAGTTTGAGATATGATATACTTTGTTGGACCTGACTGAACATTTTATGAACTTGGCATAAATACTCTATTTAAAAGCCCCCAGGGGGCTTATTTCTTTTCAAGGCCTTCAGTGAGGGAGGGTCTAATATACATTGTAAAGAAGGTAAAGCCATTCGGAGCCAAACTGGTCCACACTGCTGGAGGGGTGCACTGCTGGAGCTTATCCTGGTTTCTGCAGCATGAAGCTGACTAGGAGTACTGCTACTCCCCCTGGGTGGGATGGTAGTCCATTGCAGGTTACCCCCAGCCCAGGGGGTAACTGCCCCAAAATACCCATATGGGTATGTACCACCCAGCGGGGTCGTGATTTTGGGACTCCTGATCTAGAACAGGGTTACCTACAGTGTATATTCGAGACTTTTCAAAAACAGGCTATGGAAATAAATTTCCAGAACGGGGTATAAAAATTGGCCTGTTTCTAGTACGGGGTATCATTTTGAATGCAAATTCTTTCTAAAAACGGGATCCAAATTTTGATTCAGGATAAGAAGACCTGGGCGTCGTCACATACCCACCCAAACACCCGAAACATATCTGAGCCGAGTACCCCCCCAGGTCCCACAGCATTTTGTTTGGTTGCCTTATCCGTTCTCCACTACCCATTTATACTCCTGTGTGGAGAGAGGCACCGAGAGTTAAAGTGTCCTGCCCAAGATTTAGCACATTACAATGACCCTGGGAACTGGGAGTTAGATGTATGGGAAGAGGGAAGTTCATACCCTCCAGCCCGCTGCACACCACACGGAGCAGAATTGACTTCTACCCCATGTTAAGTGTTGATTTAAAAATAAGAAATGTGGTGGAGGGATAATAATTATTATTATTCTAAAATAAAAGGTTTGTTGAGGGAAACATTAGACTGCGAGTAGTCTCTTTCTTTTCCTAATCTTTCCTGGGCAGGCGATGTGAATACCGACTGATCACAGTCTAGGGAAATATTTGAGTAGAAATACCAAAATTATAGTGATACAATGTTTTGATGTGTCTAACATTATCAAATAGAAAATGACAGTATAAAGAACATGTTCACCTTCTTACTGTCACTCTTCTTGATACTTTTAGACACGTCAAACATCATATTGCCATAATTTTGGTATTTTTATACAAATACAACTGCCTCTAAATATTAGCTAGTTAGCTGACCAGTACATGTTTTTCTTGATAACATGAAAAAGCTACAAACATGCAGTATGCAGTGGGAAGCCATTTCATTTCTTCCAGTTCTTTAGGAAAATTATATTAATTATTTTATTGCAGAATAGCAAATATAAGATTTTGAACTAGCAGAAATGGCACTGGGTATCCCTGCATGTCGTGTGGAATGAAAGGGCTGGTTTGGTCAGTAAAAAACACCCTTTCATTCTACAAGATATGCAGGGATACCCTGTGCCATTTCTGCTAGTTCAAAGCCTTGTATGGTATTTGTTTGAAGACCCAAATGCACCCTTGTTAGGATACACATATGTATCTAACTGAACAATTCCATGGTAAATCAGCCAGTCTAACAGCTACATGTTTTTAAAAAAATCATCATTTACCAACAGACATTTCATCTGTGATCTGAGATACACTTGAGTATAATCAGGAAACCAAGCCACCACAAAATAATCTGTCAATTTTTTAAATATTATGACAACATAGACTTACGGTCAAAGGCTTTCTAGAGCTCAAATTAGACATCCCCTCACCCTACATGACATGCAGAAACAGTGTAATTGCTACCTGTGAAATTTCTGGATTATCTCGGTTAATTTAATTAAAGAATGAAAGTTCAAATTTTGATTCAAGGCACCTTTTCATGAAAAATAAGACCTATTGTACATGTACATGGTCAAATAACATGGTCATGACTCAAATACTTTACATCTTAGTTCTTATTTAGTGTGATGCAGTGTTCGCCATAATATTTGACGAATTGAATAAATTTGGAGAGAACCAGAACATCCTGAAAAAAAATATATAAACGACTTCAATAACAACATAATAATATTTATTTTCACTTTAAAATTCTGAAATGCAGATAATAAATAAAGCGGTTAGAATATTTTCAAAAGGTAAATAAAATAACTGTGCAGGACCAGCTCATTTCAACAACCAACATAGGAACCTTACTTAAAGCTTGGCAAAAATACTGAAAATACACAGTCGGACACCCTCGGGAATCAGAAAAAATTGTCCGCAAATGGAGCTTGCCGCTTACGGGAATGTGTAAATACAGAGCTAGTTTGCATGAGCTAGAGTTCAAGCGGGGTTTTGTCAGGGTGGCAAGTAGAGCTGTCTGCTTAAATACGAGAGTGTCCGCTTCAGAGGTCGAGAGCTTCGATTGTAGTCCTGTCAGTGTCACTGCCATTTCCACGATTCTTTACGATATGTTCAAAATCTCGAAACTCAAAACACAGGGTATATCATATCGCAAAAATGTCCTTTCTCTAATAAATATTAAGTTCTGGTACATCACCTAGAGTGGATCTTAGCGATATAAAATAGAGATCGATCGAGAGATCGATTAAAACGACAAAAAGATGAACTGTCTGTCCGCCTTCGGCCCTGAACTACTTCTCCACTCCGACTCAATAGATAAACATGAAAATCACGAGGAAGCAGCTCATAGGTCAGTAACGATATTTAAAAATACATACTGTATCCTTTTTGTACCAATATCCCTTCGAGAACTTCCTCCAACGCAGTCAACGCAGCTTCGCAAAAGACTTGGCAGCTAACTCGCAGCCGCCATTATTTACAAATGACTACACATTCTCCACCCCTCCCTAGAACTTTTCTTTTCGCGCGTAACAAATTGACCAATCAGAAGCATTTTATTGTTTCAAGCGAAAACCAATCAGAGCAAGCTCTGTCCCAGGGTTCCCCAGAGCTCTTCTCTCCCTCGGTCATGCGCAAAAGAGAAGGGCTCTGGGGTCGAGATTGGGTACTTTTCTATTGAACGTTATTTTACTTTTCAAATTAAGAAATTTCCATCTGTTTGCATATAATAGTCGCCTCTAATACAACTTTTTATTTCTAAAGCAGCTTTTATGTTTTCAATCATAGTTTTCGAAGCGAAATAAAATGTAAACGCGATTAGCAAAATTTTGTTTTGACATTTTGGCGGCCAGCGAAGGCGTACATTCTTCAATGATTTTTGTCAAACTTATGTTAACAGGATTCAGACCATGAATAAACTGCTGATGGAAAATAAATGGCAGAAATTTTATTTCTCAATATCAAAGTCAAAAAGCAAGGGGAAGTGTGAATTTAGCGGTTGAATTTGAGTTGAATGTTTTTGCCGGAAAGTCACGCAAGAGTTGTTCCGTTAAATTATCGTCTTATGTTATCAATAACCTCGTTCAGTTATAAATATTGCAGCTGACGTTGACACTAATTTACAGAAGCTTACTCAAAATAAAATACTTCACTCCAGATTACCGATAAACTGCGAAAAAGGTCGTATGCAAATTAGCTTTTAGTGGACCCTAAACGCGCATGGGCAATCAGGTGACATAGTCCCTTGACACAGCGGCAAAAAGAGTGCGCGTGCGCCAACCTGCTCACTCACTCATGATCGTAAAGGCCACACGAGAATTGCTTTCGCGTGAGCTCTTTGGGGACAGAATTATAAACCCCGCTACGCGAGGCCTTCGGCCTCGCTTTGCGAGGAATAATTTTTTTCGCTTACTACATTATCATAAAATATTTGTAGTCTTAAAAAATATATAATAATAATAAAATAAAATTATGTTTCCGGCAGGGACCGAACCTGCGACCTTCCGCGTGTTAGGCGGACGTGGATAACCACTACACCCACGGAAACGGATATAGATAAAGGAAGGGTTTGTCTCTCTGATGTCTGCTTATTTTTTTTTCTAACTTTTTGAAAAACCTTTGTACGTTCCTCGAATATTAAACACAATCATGTGGCGAGGGCGATTCTGCTTATCCAATCAAATCATTTCTAAATAGCTTTGTAATTTGGCATACTGTAAAACATGGACTGGACTGGATTTGTAAAACATGGACTGGATTTGTAAATGGTGGATTTGTAAAAGGTGGATTTGTAAAAGGTGGATTTGTAAAAGGTGGATTTGTAAAACATGGATTTGTAAAAGGTGGATTTGTAAAAGGTGGATTTGTAAAACATGGATTTGTAAAAGGTGGATTTGTAAAAGGTGGATTTTGTAAAATGACACCACATCGCAAGATAGTCACGAAACCACGCTTTTCCTTTGCAAACTGAGTTCGTCGGATATATTTTCTTGTAGTATTTCATTGTATTTCATTGTGCTATTGTTGAAAAACTGCGCGGACTTTAAACAAAGTGGAAATTGAAGAATATGCTGTATAAAATTGCGACAGCTCACATTCTTTCCTGCACGCTCCTCCATGCAATCAGACGCGTGCAATGCACATTGGATAGCTGTCAAATTTGCAAATTCAAGTCAACACCTCAGGAAAACCTCAGGAAATGCAAACATAGGATCGAAATTCATCAATCACAGGTCAAGCTCAAAACAGAAAACGGCTATGATTGGTTTGTTGTCCTGCATTGTGATTTGCACGATTTGTTTCATTTTTGTTTTGTTTCATTCGCTTGGCGCTTAGTCTCCTACGCAGCCGTTATTTGTATCGTCGCGCAACGCTTCTCCCCACTAACCACATTCCTTTTGTTTTGACCGCAGTAACTTTGACACCTATCCGCAAAAACGTGACTGTTACCGTTTGCCGAAAACTTGCTAGATCGATCCAATTCTTGAACTAGGATGTCTGTTGTAATTATAATGAAGTTTTTTCGACATTATTCTTTCATATCATACATTTTTTCTTCAGTAAAACCGTGTTTTATTTTGATGTCTGGTGTGCGTCAAATTCAAAAGGCGGCATACTAGCGTGCGTTTGACGTTTAATTCATTATATATACTAACACAAAAATATTTTTTTATTCCAACTGTTGTTTCGTAAATACAGTCGAACCTCCCGCAAGCGGACACTCTCTGGACCAGAAAAAATGTCCGCTTACGAGAGCTGTCCGCCGGCGGGAGATGTCCGTCAGGGGAGGTTCGAGTGACGTATACGTTCAAAATAAGAAATAAAAACTCAACCTCGAAGCGCTTCACGTCCATTTATTGTTTTGCCGTACTCTCGGTTCGCAAATGTTTCCTTTGTAAGCAATTATTTTTCACGCAAATCACAATGCAACAAACCAATCATAGCCGTTTTCTGTTTTGAGCTTGACCTGTGATTGATGAATTTCGATCCTATGTTTGCGTTTCCTGAGGTTTTCCTGAGGTGTTGACTTGAATTTGCAAATTTGACAGCTATCCAATGTGCATTGTACGCGTCTGATTGCATGGAGGAGCGTGCAGGAAAGAATGTGAGCTGTCGCAATTTTATACAGCATATTCTTCAATTTCCACTTTGTTTAAAGTCCGCGCAGTTTTTCAACAATAGCACAATGAAATACAATGAAATACTACAAGAAAATATATCCGACGAACTCAGTTTGCAAAGGAAAAAGCGTGGTTTCGTGACTATCTTGCGATGTGGTGTCATTTTACAAAATCCACCTTTTTACAAATCCACCTTTTACAAATCCATGTTTTACAAATCCACCTTTTACAAATCCACCTTTTACAAATCCACCTTTTACAAATCCATGTTTTACAAATCCACCTTTTACAAATCCACCTTTTACAAATCCACCTTTTTCAAATCCACCTTTTACAAATCCATGTTTTACAAATCCTCCTTTTACAAATCCATGTTTTACAAATCCACCTTTTACAAATCCACCTTTTACAAATCCATGTTTTACAAATCCAGTCCATGTTTTACAAATCCAGTCCAGTCCATGTTTTACAGTATGCCCTGATGGAGGACCAAGTTTATATATTTCAACAATATGGGTATACTGGCGATTGCATGCTATCACGGACTTGGAAGACCCAGAAACTATTCAGCAGGTTTTAAATGGGGAACTACCTTGTTCGGTTTCAGTGCCGAGTGTTGTCTAAACTAACGCGTTGTAAATATCTGTTTTGCCCGACAGGAGACGACCAAACGTGACCTCTTAAAATTTGCTAGAGTGAACACAGTCGATGGCTCTATAGCTATTTTACTTCAAAATCCTCCTCATAATACAACATATCTTGCCCGCTAGAAACACTCTTGAAGGGCAAAGTAGGTCAGAAGATTGAAGAGAACGGCAAATGTCACGAACTTCGAACAGGCCTGTCACGCCTTTTACCATAGCCAATCAGAATAAAGGGGATTCGAAAGGCCCTTCCGGTATTTCGTTCGTCGTTGGGGGTCTAGAACAAGGATTTTGTGCACTAATTCGCAGACGGACATTACCGGCGGTCAAGTCCGTCTGCGACGCAGGCTAGTACCTGACGCGACTGAACTTCAGTTGAGACTCTAAAGCCTTCTTCACCGTGTCCATAAGTTGGGCCAAGATTCTTGCAGACATGAGTTCTAGGCGAAGAATGGTCAACTCCTCCTCCTCCTGCCTGTCTGAAAATTCCATAAATAGTCTGCCCCTATCAACAAGTCTATCTCCCGGGGGGGGTACTTGACCCATGTTTGGGTATAGGGGTGCCGCTAGAGGGTTTGAAACCCTGCCCCTGTTTAGGGCAAAAAAAACCTAAAATACCCACCCTGTGTACGGCAACACCCTCTATGTTAGGACCCTGTTTAGGGCAAACGACAAAATACACACTCTGTTTAGGACAGGTTTATTTTAGACACCCTGTTTAGGGCAGACTCGCATGAAATTATATACTCTGTTCAGGGCAGAGGCCAAAAACCATACCCTGTCCAGCGGCACGTCCCCGCATAGGCCATATAAGGGAGTACCCCCCCCCCCCCCGGGTCTATCTCTAACTGTTCGCTGGTTTTGCAGACATCCGAGAGCCATATTCTTGCCAAGTGTGGGTAATCCCTGCGCGCAATTTCCAGATGTTCATTATGTACGCGCGAAATATCGGGAACAACATACGCTTCGATTCTCATGACTTTCCCTCCCCCACCGGGGTCAAATCTATCCGACAACATCCCTCAAGTTGGATCCCGCAGCCCTTTCCCGAAAGTGTTAACAGTGAGCCATTCCTAATGGGTTCTAATTCAAACGATTTCACAACTCGTGAATGTCAATTGCACGGTTTGGAGACGCGAGTACTAAGGCTTACTGCGCTGTAGTGTATCTTGTCTATGTAACTAAAGAGGGAATCTATGCGAAACTGCTGACTTCGAAGTCTCGTGATGTTGGTACCAGTGATAGTTTTTTTTTATCTATTTTAGTGCAGTTAATTACGTGAAAGGCCTGTTGGTCTAGTGGCATGATTCTCGCTTTGGGTGCGAGAGGTCCCGGTTCGACTCCCGGACAGGCCCAGCTGGGTTATATTTTTTTATAATATTTTGTGAAGCTATAATATTGTTTTAAAATAAACTTTTATTAATCAAGAGTTAAGTTTTCCCTCTTCAAAACTATAATACTGGCGAAACTCAACTCGGCTTCTTATGAACATTGTGAGGGAATTGTTACAATAGATATCCCGAGGCAACCGTGTTCAAAATGCAAGACATGGTAGTGGATGTTTAAAGCTAGTGGCAATTCCATTGTTCGTTTATCTGTTTTTTTAACTACATGTAGTTAGGACGCTTCTCTTTTTTACTGGGCCCATGGCCAAGAAAGTAATGTATTTAAAAACACACGCACGGTCATGTTTTATTAGAAGGATCCTTTTACATGCATAAATCTTACAATCATTGGTACAAAAAATACTGTGGGATTTTTCTTTACTGAAGCAAAAAGTACTGTCCCCGGGTGGCTTGAGCCACCAACCTTTCGGTTAACAGCCGAACGCGCTAACCAATTGCGCCACGGAGACTACTTATGGAGTGTGTTTCGTTAGTAATAATCAGGATACTGTGCACATTCAAAATAAAATAAAGCTGCATGATTATAAGGTTGACAAATTAACGCGATCAAACAATTGACACACCAAAATGTTCCCAGATGGGAAAAGTCACAACGTTTGGCTACAATTGCTTGAATTCTCTTTAAAGTGCCCCTACGATCAAATTGTTGATATTCAATTTTTTACATTTTCGTGTACAATATGACTTTCTTACATGTCTTGCTAAATTTCAATCCATCACGAACATGAGAAGTCATTGTTTTTGGACTTTTATTTCCGAGAATTTACGGCCGCCATTACTTGACCTTGTTCCAAGGCTCGGTTGCGAATTAAATTATAATAACAATAAGTATAGAAAATTGCATGGAGATCAACAAAAACTTTAGACTTTTTCTTCGTGCAATTTTCCATACTTGTTGTTATTATAATTTCAACCCGTGAGATATTTTTGAGCATCTGACGTCATTTTCTCTAATTCGCAACCAAGCCTTGGAACAAGGTCAAGTAATGGCGTAGTTTACACAAAAAATTGGGAGAATTATCTTGATACTGCCCCTTTAAGGGTCAAGCAGTGTTTGTTTGCTCTTTTTAGTTTGTTTGTTTGTTTGTTTGTGATGGCTGATTTCACCAATACTAACATCAGACCGAACAAGATTACGAGTATAGGAGTGTTCACTGTTTATCAACATTTGTTTTGTTATTCAAATTTGTCAACCATTAAACAAAATAACTCTTTGTTTCAACAGCCAATAGTTCTCTGGTTGGCACATTAATAACAATAGGTGACGTAACGAGAAACATCGCTATATCAATCTGGTGTTGTGGATGCACACATCAGTGACCATCTAATGGTTTACACCATTCTACTAGCCTCTTTGCTTCGATAATGTTTTAAAAA